CAACTTTATTTCTGCAACTTTGTCTCCCCCTACAGGTGGACTGCAAAAACTACATCCGCCTGCTGGAATTCCTGGGAAATGATCAAATCTATGTGTGTGGCACCTATGCTTTCGACCCCCAGTGTGCATTCCTGGTTAGTGTTTTATTTTATTTTTGTTTACTAATTGGTGTGATTAATTGACATAGGCAAACAGCAAATATAGGCTCCTTTAGGTCACTTGCATATTAATCAGCATCTATCTTTATGACTACTTGAAAAGTTCACTGAATACAATATTACTTTTTTAAATACTTCTGATTTATTTAAACATCTGCCAATAATGTCCTATTTCTTACAGCACAAACCTGGAGACATAAAGTAAATTAAAATTAATCTGTGTATATTTTTACATGGATTATAGTTTTTTCTAGTTATTCCTGCAAACAGGTGTATTAAAATAAAATGTGTATAAATGGCCGTATAAATTGTGTTTATGTATTCATGTAAAAATGGTGGTTGAGAAGGTCGCTCTTTGCTGTGTTCCAACCCAATTAAACTGGGAAAAAATCTGCAGGAAGAGCTCATATTTCTCTGTTAATCTGACTTCATATTCATTTTAAGGCAAAATATTTTGCATCGAATTAGCCAGATTTTAAAAAGAAACTACCTTTTGAGATTTTCAAGGCAACAACAGCATTTTCATGGTGCAGCCCCTGATGAAAGAAGTTCTATTACCCCCCCCCCAGTGGCTGGCTGCAATACATTTTATGCCCCGCCCCCTCCCTATTACCCAATAGGAGGTTTTTACATCACACCTGATGTAATCCCATAAAGAGTAGGACAACAATAGAGATTGAGAGCTTAGCATTTCCATACCTGAGAAACACCCCCTGAAATATTTGGGATCAGATCAGGAAAGGTCAAGATGTCTACTAAGGTTTGTATCTTTTTTATTTTTTTTATGTTTCACATCATGAAGAGTTTAGGCTCAATAGAGAAAAATAAGGGTTGATTGTTTTGACACTTTAAGCAACACTTCCCTAAAGACCTCATAAAAGGGTCAAACTAAAGGCTTGCCTAGATGAAGGTCAGTGTGAGATCTAGTGTCCTCCAAAGGAATACAGTCGCCTATATGTTTTAGCTCTGAGCTGTACCTTTCTTATCCTCTGCTGTCCTACAGAACATACCTTCCTTCAGTTTAGAGAAACTTGAAAATGGAGGGGTAAAAATGGAGACGGGGAAGGGCAAATGCCCCTTTGAGCCCAGTCAGCATCACACAGCAGTTATGGCAGGTAAGTTCACCTGGGTGGTTTAACTGTCCCATTAACTCTTTTTCAGCGTGTTAATTGATGAACTGCCTTCCTCTCTCATCCAGACGGCGTTCTCTACACGGCCGCCACCAGTAACTTCCTGGGAACGCTCTTTGACATTTCCCGGGCGATGGGACCTGAGCAGGAGCGCATCCGAACTGAACAATCCATCAACTGGCTCAATGGTGAGATACTCGGGTTCCAACTTGATGAAACATTTTCTGTTATTGTCACACCTTCCTACAGGTAGCAAGCTTTTTGTTTGCTTTCATTCAGACCCAAAGTTTGTCAGCTCTGCCTTCATAGAGCAGCCTCCAGACAACAACCCAACAGGAGACGATGACAAGATCTACTTCTTCTTCACTGAGATGGCCAAAGAGTATGATATGTACATCAAAGTTCCAAGAGTCGCACGAGTCTGCAAGGTAGACCATCGCTTTGATCCCTGGTTTAGTAAGTTTCCTTGACTGGACCAAACTCATGTAAGACTTGTGCTTGTAGTCCGACGTAGGCGGGATGAAGACGTTGCAGCGCCGTTGGACCACTTTTCTGAAGGCCCAGTTGGTGTGTGAGGACAAACCTAGCAGTCAGCGCTACAACATCCTCACTGATGTTTTCACCATTCAACACACTCCAGGCGATCCCAGCAGCACACACTTCTACGGGCTCTTCACCTCTCAGTGGTGAGCTGAGCACAGTTCAGGAGAAATCAAAGAAAGTAAAATAATTTCAAAACTCGATTTGTTTTTTTTGCTGTTATTGTTTTTGATCAGGGAGCCTGAAGACTTGTCGGCCGTGTGTGTTTTCAGTCTCTCTGAAATCAGCAAAGTGATGAACGGCCCCTTTAGAGAACTGAAGAAGACCTGTGAGAACTGGATTAATCCTGAACCTGTTCCCACACCGAGACCTGGCCAGGTATTAAACTACACCACCAAATGAACTGTTTCTTTTTATGTATTTCATAAATGAAAAATAACTCCTATTTTCCCTTTTAGTGTTTGACCAGAGCATTGAAGGATGAAGGATTTGAGTCCTCCTTGAAGCTGCCTGACAAGGTGCTGACATTTGTGAGGGACCACCCTCTGATGGAGAACAGTGTCACTGCAGCCCCCTTGCTGGTCCGGAAGGGACTCCGATACACCAAGCTGGCTGTAATGCTGACAGGAAATGGAGGGAATCAGAGAAAAGCAGTTCTCCATCTTGGAACTGGTGAGGAGTGAAGAATTCATTAAAGAAGATGGCAAAAGGAGAATAGAAATTTAATATTATTTTTAAAAATGTTGAGTTTCTGAAAGTTCTATGAAGTACTTCTCTTATAGACAGCTTTTTTACCTTAATGGATCCATATGGAGTATCGTAAACCTGCCGTAGCCCGTCCTATACATGTTTACTGCCATCTACTGGAGGATCTACAGGTGGCAAGGACAAATTTAATTTCTTTATTACTATTATAGAATAGAGTAGAATAGACTTTATTGTTCCCACAATGGGGACATGTTACAGTAGCACCAACACTTAAGATAATCATTTTAAGAAAAATAACAAAGGTGCATGCTTATGCACATAGGCAGTGAGCTATTGTCGTAACCTTCGATCACTAAAAACCACAAATAAAAAGAAAAGAGAGACAGACATAAAATGTAAATCTGATATTGCTCAGGTATTGAACACATACTGAGTATTGCATTGGCGGTATTGTGTACCAGCATAATGCCAGTAACACGTTTACATACTTGGGATGTCTCGAACAACTAAAACACAATAAAACAGCTATATAGTAAAATGCAGAAATACAACATTTAAAATGCATTAAAAGATTTTAAAAGCCATAAAACAAAAGTGATCAGAAAATTAAAACGAGTACAAAAGCCAAGAACTAGACCTAAGATAAACCTTCAGCCCAGCTGTAAAAATGGGCAGCGATGTGGACTGTTTTAGTTCTACTGGTAGTTCGCTCCAAAGCCGAGGACCCAGAACTGAACCCGTGGAACCACCAGGAGGTGCGTGATTCCTCAGGTGCAGCTTATTAATGAAATTAGTTTAAAAACTTTAACTTGAGTTACTTGCAAAATATATATTTTAGCTTAATACTTTTCAATGGTAAAGGCTAATTATCGGTTTGGGACTCGAAATTGGATCGGATGTGTTATAAAATGGCACAATTAGCTTTTTGTTTTCTACACTGCAGCAACACGCACACAACTTACACGCACGCACGCACACACACATATAGAGTGTACACGATAAGTAGCCTAAGGCATTTCATTGCACAATCGCATCCACAATCAAAACACTGTTGGGCTTGTCTTATTATTATTATTATTATTATTATTATTATTATTATTATTATTATTATTATTATTATTTATACTTTATCATTATCAGCATTGATATCTTTATATTAATATTGTAAAAATATGATCATTATTTTTATTATTGCTACTATTATTTATTATTAATATTGCAAATGATAATAATGATTATAACGATACCCTTATTATTTACTCTCTATTATTTACTATCAGATTAATGTATGTGTTTAATTACTTATTTTATCTCTATACATGAAGGCGTCATATTATAGCTACTCACACACATTTATGGGTGCACTAAGGTTTGTCTCATGGAACGTACATGGAGCTGGCTCCAGAGAGGAGATTAAAAATTTTTGATCAGTTAAAAAGAGTGCAAGCAGACGTAATATTGCTACGAGACCCATAAATCTGCCACATCTGCAGATGAACTTAAAACATCTGAGTTTCCCAGCATATTCTTTGCCTGCTATAACTCTAGGCAAAGAGGTGTAGCTATTTTAATACACAAAAACATCAATTTCACAGTATTGGACACAGTTTCAGATGCAGAGGGTAGATTTATAATACTAAAAATATCTGTACAGAACCAAAGCTTATGTATCATCAGCATATATTGTCCAAATATTTATGACCCTTCATTCTTTCATAATTTTTTCTCTGTACTTTCCAAACACTTGGACTGTCCACTTATACTTGGAGGCGATTTTAAATTTTGGATGGATACTTTAACAGACAGGCTCAGTACAGCTGGGACTCAGCGCAATTGGCAATCCACTAACATAGTTAAACAGTACATGAGTGATTATGGGCTTTGTGATGCATGGCAACCTCTTCATCCTAACTATAGAGAGTATACGTTTTCTCACATGTCCATCACTCTCATTCATGTTTGGATTATTTTCTACTCAGCAGCTGATTGTTGGCTGACATTTCAGACACTTGAGATACACCCCATAGTTATCAGCGACCATGCTCCGGTTTCTTTAACTCTGGTAAACAATAAGACAATCCCACCAAGCAAAAACTGGAGGTTTAATACATCACTGCTTAAAGATGAAGGTTTTATAGAATTGTTTAAAAAGGAGTAGGCTTTATATTTAGAACATAATGGCCTGCCTGGAACATCAGCAACTGTTCTCTGAGAGGCAGGGAAGGCAGTGATGAGAGGTAAAATAATCTCTTTCTCATCATATAAGAAAATAACAGAAAACAAATGTATTCAGGAGTTAGAAGAAATCATTAAGTCTTTAGAGGCATCCACAGAAGAAGAGTTACTGAGCAGATTATGTAAAGCTAAATTAGAACTTCATGGAATTATTGACAAAAAGACACAATTTTTAGCACAAAGACTACAAATAGAAAACTTTGAACATAGTAATAAGTCAGGTACATTTTTAGCTAACCAGTTAAGAATAAATAGAGAAAACTACCATATCTGCTGTTAAAGACTCAACCGGGAATATAGTTTATGATCCTGAAAGAATAAACAACACTTTCAGAGACTTTAACCAAACTTGTACTCACCACAGATAAGTTCCTTGACAGGATAACACTTCCTAAATTATCAGACAGCCAAGCTACAGTCCTGGATTCACCACTAACATCAGCTGAGCTCCAGGAAGCCCTTAAATCCATGCCTAATAGGAAAGTTCCAGATCCATACAGGTTCCCAGAAGAGTTCTACAAAGAATTCTGGATCATTCTGGCTTCAACATTCTTCAGAATGGTGAGGGAAATCGAAGATTGGCAGATTACAGCCAAACATGAATTCAGCCAATATCCGTCTTTTATTAAAACCAGGCAAAGACCCTGTATTTCCTACCAGCTATCGCCCAATTTCTCTTATTAATGTTGATCTCAAAATAAAGAGACAGTAACCCCCTTTATAATACACTCTGACCAAACTGGTTTCATTAAGGGTAGACAGTCATCCACAAACTCACGTAGATTACTTAATTTGTTAGATTTCTCTTGCAGTAGAAACATATAAACTAGTATATTATCCGTAGATGCAGAAAAGGCCTTTAATAGAGTTAACTGGAAGTTCTTATTAGCAATTTTACATAAATTTGGTTTTGGGAACTTCTTCATAAACTGGCTACAAACATTATACAATTCACCAACAGCACGTGTTAGGACAAATGACCAAATATCAGCTAGCTTCTGTCTTCAGAGGGGGACCAGGCAGGGATGCCCACTCTCCCCCTCACTTTTTGCTATCTTTATCGAACCACTAGCAGCAGCAATTAGGCAAACAACAGATATTAAAGGCATACAGTGTAAGAAAATAGAACATAAGATCAGTCTTTATACAGATGATGTTTTACTCTTTCTCCAGAATTCTCAATCCTCTCTTTCCCATTCAGTAGAACTGATACTCTTTTTCAAGAGTTTCAGATTACTCAATAAACTAGTTAAAATCCACAGTTCTACCAATTAATTTCTCTTTTGTCAATTTACTTAATACACAATTGGAGTCAGGGAATATCACATACCTAGGAATTAATGTCTGTCCGAAGTTGGCAGATCTAACCAAACTAAACTACATCCCACTTTTAAAGAAAGTGGAAGATGATCTTGCAAGATGGAAATCCTTACCAGTATCACTCATGGGGAGGGTTGCTACAATTAAAATGATGGTCTTACCCAGAATAAATTACTTATTCCCAATGATCCCAAACAAGCCACCAGCTGACTAGTTTAGATCTCTGGACTCCTCAATCACAAAATTCCTTTGGCTAGATAAACCTCCACGAATTAGCTTAAAAACACTTCAGAAGACCAAAGAGGAGGACTGGATCTACCCAACTTTTATCATTATTTCTTAGCCAACAGGCTGCAATATATACTAAGATGGTTGCAAGATAACCCACTAGATGAGTCCTGGTTAGATATGGAACAGACACTTTGCCATACGATAGAGCTTTGAGACTTACCATTTATTAGCTCAAGCATAAGCAAACATGAAGGCTTCAAAAGTATTAATATCAACACCTCTCTGGCAGCATGGTGGGAGTATCTAAAATTGACAGTCTTCACTAATACCATGCAGACACACACCTATCTTGAACAATCCTGATATTTTGCAAAATAACAAAATGATGAACCCTCCGGACTGAAAAAGTAATGGAATCCTATACCTGGAACACATATATGAAGGATTAGACTTCATCCCATTTAACAGAATAGTCTCCCAATTTGGAATAGATAAGAATAGCTTGTTAGAATATCACCAAATTAAATATGTAGTTACAAATAATTTAATCTCAATAAAGTAGAATTAAAAACACCACCAAGGTTATTAGACTCCTATAATCTCAACCCCCCCAAACTACTGTCTAAAGTTGATGAGACACTGTCCAAAATAGACGATAGAATAGCAATCCCTATTGAAAAATGGGAGGTGGATTTATCAGTCAGCTATGACCAGAACTTCTGGTCCCAAACTTGTTTAAAACTTTTTAAATGATCAGACACCCCAATTTACAATTAATTCAGTACAAAATCCTACACAGAGTACACTATACAGGTTATCGGATGTTCAAGATGGGGTTTGTGTCGTTTGACACGTGTACACACTGCACAAACAACATTCCTGACAATTACATTCACGCACTGTGGTCCTGTCCACTTGTCCAGCAATTTTGGTGTATAGTATGTGAAGACCTGTCAAAGTGTCTGAAATGTCATCCCAACTTCTCCCTCTCTTTGTTTGCTGGGAAACCTGGATGATGTCCCAATTGAAACATCTTTGGTTCACGTGGTTCTGACTGCCATATGCATCGCTAAGAAAACTATCCTCATGAATTGGAAAAATAGAGATACTCTTTGCATTAACCAGTATAGAAATATTTTGTTAGATCATATTACACTTGATACAGCCTCTGCTTCCAC